AACTTGAATCCATTGTTCAACTCCAGGGTTTAGGTCAGGTGAAAGTGAAATATTTGAAATTGGCCCATTAGCGCCCCCTAAAGACTGAGTCAAAGTTTACATGGGGAGCCAAACCAGCTCTACTTATTATATTCATTACAATTTGACTAACAATCTTCTATGGCTACGGGAACAAATCATCACACAACGGCGCCACCTCCTTTGAGCGGTGCTGCGTGGTACGGTGTGGTGCGGCGTAGTGCGGGGCGTTGTGGAGCGGCGCATTGCGGCTTGGTGCGGGGCGGCGTAAGGCAGGACAGCGTGGTGCAGGGCGGCGTGGTGCGGGGTGGCTTGGTGCGGGGCGGCTTGGTGCGGGGCGGCTTGGTGCGGGGCGGCTTGGTGCGGGGCGGCTTGGACCAGGTGGTGCGCAGGGTGCGGGGAGTCGCGCGGTGCGGCGAGGGCCGTTCGACGCCGCTTGCGGCTTTAATTTATTTCTTTCTTTCTTTCTTTCTTTCTTTCTTCTGCACTTTGAGCCTTAATTTGACCCCCTGAACATGCATGAAAAGTTGTTAAATTTTGCCCAAAAATCAGACCTGGCGAAAAATTTGATATTTTGGTGTTTATTTTAATGGGACTCAAAAAATGCCAGAACAGCGCCACCTACAACAGCCAAAATAATACCCCTATGGGAGTTCTGAAGATCAAGTTTGTTGTAGAGTCATGAAATTCGGTACACATGTTCCTCAAGTCAAGACAAGAAAAAAATATTATTATGGCCCCGCCCTCTGACAAACAGGAAGCCCATAAATCTCACTGCAAAATGGAAAAATGAACAGCAAAAGTTTTCATACATGTCGGTTGGAAAGCGACTCCTCCTCGGCCGTTTCACCGATTCGCCTCAAAATCGCGCCACATCATCTCAACACATGTACCTTCAAAATGACCTCAGGGATTTTTGATCAGTGAAACATTGTTTGAGCAGCGGAGCGGCAAAATGTGACATTTTTTTGGCCGTTTTTGACAACATTAAATTTGCTCCCGTTTGCACAAACAAAGTCTGATTTGCACAAAACTTTAATACATTGTTCAACTCTAGGGTCTAGGTCGTTTGAAAGTGAATTAATTCAAATTGACACATTAGTGCCCCCTACAGACTATTTCAAAGTTTTAGATGGGCATTTTCAAATTTAGTTTTTTCAAAATGTTTGAAATTTTGCACATACATCTGTTTTGCCCTCTTGATTCAAAAAGTCAATTGGGTCCAAGGCTTATTTTTTACCCTGTTGCCGTGGCGACGAGAAACGCTCCCCATTTATTGCAAATGTACACCTCACACAAACATCAAACCAGCCTCGGCCGTTTCACCAATTCGCCTCAAAATCGCTCCACATCATCTCAACACATGTACCATCAAAATGACTTCAGGGAATTTTGATCAGTGTAACGTTGTTCGAGCAGCAGAGCGCCAAAAAGTGGCGTATTTTTTTTCAGTTTTTGACAATAGAATTTTTTTTTTCCGTTTGCACAAACAAAGTGTGATTGGCACAAAACTTGAATCCATGGTTTAACTCTTGCGTCTAGGTCATTTGAAAGTTAACATTTTGAAATTGGCTCTATAGCGCCACCTACAACTGCCAATTTAAAAATGCCTAAGGGGTGGGTTCGAGGTCAAAATTGTCGTAGAGCCATGTAATTTGGAACACATGTTCCTCAAGTCAAGACATGGATAAAATGTTATTATGGCTAAGCCCTCTGACAAACAGGAAGCCCATAAATTTCATTGCAAAATGGAAACATGAAAACCAATCATTTTCATACACGTCGGTTGGAAAGCGACTCCTCCTCGGCCGTTTCACCGATTGACCTCAAAATTGTTCCAAATCATCTCAACACATGTACCATCGAAATGACTTCAGGGAATTTTGATCAGTGAAACGTTGTTTGAGCAGCGGAGCGGCAAAATGGGAAGTTTTTTTCTGCCGTTTTTGACAACATTAATTTTTTTCCCGTTTGCACATACAAAGTCTGATTTGCATTAAACTTGAATCCATTGTTCAACTCCAGGGTTTAGGTCAGGTGAAAGTGAAATATTCGAAATTGACCCATTAGCGCCCCCTAAAGACTGAGTCAAAGTTTACATGGGGAGCCAAACCAGCTCTACTTTTCATATTCATTACAATTTGACTAACAATCTTCTATGGCTACGGGAACAAATCATCACACGGCGGCGCCACCTCCTTTGGGCGGTGCTGCGTGGTGCGGTGTAGTGCGGGCCGTTGTGGAGCGGAGCGTTGCGGCTTGGTGCGGGGCGGCGTGATGCTGGACGGCGTGATGCGGGACGGCGTGATGCGGGACGGCGTGGTGCAGGGCGGCGTGGTGCAGGGCGGCGTGGTGCGCGGCGGCGTGGTGCGGGGAGTGCGCGCGGTGCAGGGAGTCGCGCGGTGCGGCGAGGGCCGTTCGACGCCGCTTGCGGCTTTAATTTATTTCTTTCTTTCTTTCTTTCTTTCTTTCTTTTTTCTTCTGCACTTTGAGCCTTAATTTGACCCCCTGAATATGCATGAAAAGTTGTTAAATTTTGCCCAAAAATCAGACCTGGCGAAAAATTTGATATTTTGGTGTTTATTTTAATGGGACTCAAAAAATGCCAGAACAGCGCCACCTACAACAGCCAAAATAATACCCCTATGGGAGTTCTGAAGATGAAGTTTGTTGTAGAGTCATGAAATTCGGTACACATGTTCCTCAAGTCAAGACAAGAAAAAAATATTATTATGGCTCCGCCCTCTGACAAACAGGAAGCCCATAAATGTCACTGCAAAATGGAAAAATGAACAGCAAAAGTTTTCATACATGTCGGTTGGAAAGCGACTCCTCCTCGGCCGTTTCACCGATTCGCCTCAAAATCGCTCCACATCATCTCAACACATGTACCTTCAAAATGACCTCGGGGATTTTTGATCAGTGAAACATTGTTCGAGCAGCGGAGCGGCAAAATGTGACCTTTTTTTGGCCGTTTTTGACAACATTAAATTTGCTCCCGTTTGCACAAACAAAGTCTGATTTTCACAAAACTTTAATACATTGTTCAACTCTAGGGTCTAGGTCATTTGAAAGTTAAATGATTCAAATTGACACATTAGCGCCCCCTACAGACTATTTCAAAGTTTTAAATGGGCATTTTCAAATTTAGTTTTTTCAAAATGTTTGAAATTTTGCACATACATCTGTTTTGCCCTCTTGATTCAAAAAGGCAATTGGGTCCAAGGCTTATTTTTTACCCTGTTGCCGTGGCGACGACAAACGCTCCCCATTCATTGCAAATATACACCTCACACAAACATCAAACCAGCCTCGGCCGTTTCACCGATTCGCCTCAAAATCGCTCCACATCATCTCAACACATGTACCATCAAAATGACTTCAGGGAATTTTGATCAGTGAAACGTTGTTTGAGCAGCGGAGCGCCAAAAAGTGGCGTATTTTTTTTCAGTTTTTGACCATAGAAAAATTGCTTCCGTTTGCACAAACAAAGTCTGATTTGCACAAAACTTGAATCCATGGTTCAACTCTTGGGTCTAGGTCATTTGAAAGTTAAAATTCTGAAATTGGCTCTATAGCGCCACCTACAACAGCCATATTAAAAATGCCTATGGGAGGGGTTTGAGGTCAAAATTGTCGTAGAACCATGTAATTTGGAACACATGTTCCTTAAGTCAAGACATGGGAAAAATGTTATTATGGCTAAGCCCCCTGACAAACAGGAAGCCCATAAATTTCATTGCAAAATGGAAACATGAAAACCAATCATTTTCATAAACGTTGGTTGGAAAGCGACTCCTCCTCGGCCGTTTCACCGATTGGCCTCAAAATTGTTCCAAATCATCTCAACACATTTACCTTCATAATTACTTCAGGGAATTTTAATCAGTCAAACGTTGTTTGAGAAGCGGAACGGCAAAATGTGAGGGTTTTTTGGCTGTTTTTGACAACATAAATTTTTTCCCCGTTTGCACAAACAAAGACTGATTTGCATTAAACTTGAATCCATTGTTCAACTCCAGGGTTTAGGTCAGGTGAAAGTGAAATATTTGAAATTAGCCCATTAGCGCCCCCTACAGACTGATTCAAAGTTTACATGGGGAGCCAAACCAGCTCTAATAATCATATTCATTACAATTTGACTAAGTTCTTCTATGGCTACGGGAACCAATCATCACACGGCGGCGCCACATCCTATGCGCGGTGCTACGTGGTACGGTGTGGTGCGGCGTAGTGCGGGGCGGTGTGGAGCGGTGCGTTGCGGCTTGGTGCGGGGCGGCTTGGTGCGGGGCGGCTTGGTGCGGGGCGGCTTGGTGCGGGGCGGCGTGATGCGGGACGGCGTGGTGCGGGGTGGCTTGGTGCGGGGCGGCGTGGAACGGGGTGGTGCGCGCGGTGCGGGGAGTCGCGCGGTGCGGCGAGGGCCGTTTGACGCCGCTTGCGGCTTTAATTTATATATTAAATTTGCATCATAATATAATATGATGCAAATAAAACAGTCTGTAATAAGTTATTAGTGCAAAGTCAAAACAATACTAGAGGGGTACAAAATGAAAAGTTCAGTATTTGTGTAATTCATAGAAATCCTTTGGGGAGAATGGGGTGGCGAGCTCCCACGTGGCGAGCAACCATGAGGCTCCCGAGTAATTGAGGTTTTTTTATTGTAATTCATCTCAAAATTCTCACATTTCAATGCTTTTTCAAGGTTTATATGTCCATTCAATCGCACATTATTTGTATTCTTGAACTTCTAATCTTGAGAAAGTTGGACTTATTCTAATTTCAACCCTGAAAGATAAGTAATTATTTCTAGAAGTGTTATCAAGAGTGGAGGCTGTTCTAGAATGGACCATTTTTAATTGATGGAGGACAGTGCATCGTCAGAACACCTGAGCTTAACCAGAGAAAATGGCGCTCCATGCTGTCGCAGTCTTTCACTTTTCAAGGTGTAGTTTTTAAATTGCCTCAGACTGAGACATTAGGACTCAATGTATTTTAATGAGGAAGGACAGCTGCATCAGGACTACGGTGTACTTTGTGAGTTCGGTCGAGGTGTGACTGTAATCAACAAATATGTTGGCCACTCCAGAGCTCACTCGTCTCGTCAGCCCGTCTTACAGAATGTGACAGCGCGATGCACGGCGTGTATCTACGGCTGATGACTAGAGGCAGTCGTGTTGGCGCCCCAGATAGACCCGCTTTGATAGACCTGCGTTTCAGTCTTATTGAATCCTGCAGCAGAGGCCTCCCCCCGAAGAAAGAACAGCCACCAGAGGCATGCGTACACAAAGTCGGAGCTGGAAGCAGGATGCATGCTGGTCTGCATTGCCATCACAGGTAACGGGGGAAGGTGAAAATTAAAATTTAAATCTTCTACCTCACTCTTTCGGTCTGAAAAAGGGTTATATTGTGGATGTGAAATTGCTTTTGCTGTTGATGGTTTTGTTCATTGTTGACTGAAGATAAATAAATCAATAAGAATATTAGTTGAAAAGATAACAATGCAATTACTACTGGAATCAATGCACAACTAACATCAGTTATAAATACTACATAAAAATTTTATATAAACTTTATCCAACATTTTGGCTCAAAATATTACCAATTGTGACTTTTTTTTAGATATAAAATATCTCCAGTGTTCTATGTAACTGTTTTCTTCTTTCTGCACGTAATCTGCAAGTAGAGGCCTGCTCTGTCTTGTGTGAACATTTAGCTGTTGTTGATGAAATTACAACGGTGTAAAGTCCTGCTGTTGTCATTTGACGCTGTACAAACATGAATTGAATCGACTTAAACCTATGTTTAAATAAGACACTTTTTTTCTTTCCCAAAGGCTTAATATGACTTGTTTTAACCAGTGTGGCATCATTAACCACTTTAAAGCTTCCAAAAGGCCTGACCCGGAGAGACTAAGCTGCAGTCGTGAGTGGTGGCCTGACTTACCAACAGCCTGTGGGGCCAGGATCTGTGTGAATCCTGCCGAGAAGGTGATGAGGACCACTGGATACGTGACCCAGGCCAAGTACTGCAGGAACACGTTACTGTCCAGGCCTCCGTGCATCCACTTCTGTGCTGTGGACACAACACAAACACTTTCAACACTCATGCACACGAGGGGAGGCCCACACTGACCAGAATATGGAAATACTGTAAGTAAGTCATCTTTAATTATATAATGAATTTCACAGACCAAGTCACACAAAGGGCTTTACAGAATGGGGACGGTAAGGAACACAAAGCAACAATCCACACAAATAAATGATTCAGATTAGATGTAGTCGGTGCCCCCTTTACACCTCTTAGTCCATTTTTTTGCCCTTCCAACATGAAGCTAATGAACACACAACTATCTTTACTATACTCTGTCTTTATATTGGTTGCTGGACTTTCCAGTTTCTTGGATGAATGTCAAACTGTTCAACCCACCAACATTATATTGATATGGTCTTATTTTCCTCTTTTTATTTTATTTTTTAAATGCCTTTGAATAATATGAGGGACATAAGAGCCAAAGCAATTTTCTAGTTTGTGACTTCTTGTTACTCACATTGCAATAAAAAGGATTCTGATTCTACATTATGTTAGTATTAGATAGCAATATGGCCTACGTGCAGGACTGTACAAGGACTCTGATGATGACTCCATGTTTTGACTATGATGTGACTGTCTCTTTGTGACACGTACGTCTTTCGATGTGTGACGTGACAATGACTATATAAACTGTACTGCCTTTATTCTGTCTGAGAGAAGGAAACAATGGAAACCACTGGAACTTGAGAGAAACTTAAATACACTTCCAGAGTTTGGCGCACCACGATCAGTCTCTGTCTGCTTCATTCCTGACAATTACACAATAGAATTGCAATACTAGCTGTTTCGCAATATATTCATCACATTTTTGCCAATCAGAATTTAATTTCTGATTGGCAAAAATGTGGGTGCAGCTCTTACTGCCACCCCGCCGACCCAGAAATGGATAAGGGGAAGAAAACAGATGGATGGATGGATGGATTGATTTCATACACTAAAATACAAAAGCAGAAATTGCCAGAAGTTTGGCTAAACCTTCAGATGAGATGAACTTGCATTGTTTTGTTCTGGTTCAAATATTTATGAACTCATGTGACCAAAACATCCTCTTTATCGGTTCAGATAACGTGTGCAGATATTCTCAATCAGCTCAATACATTAGCGCCAACTAAGGCCTTCAATCTAATTAAAAGCGCACCAATACAGGAAGTGGATGAGACTGGGTTAGCTTCACCTTCAGAGCGCTTTAAACACACACCGACTGAAGATGAAAATCCTTTTGAATTAGCGTCAGTCCCTCAAGGTTTCATCTCACCTCCGATTCCTCCTCGGACTCAAGGTAGCTTACCCACAAATCCCCTGTTCACATCATCCCTTTTAAAATCCACCTGACATCTCTCCAATGCACTCTTGTCTGCACACACACACACACACACACACACATAAACACACACGCACGCTAAGGAGTTATGTAGTGATCATCTATGAAACTAGTGGCTCACAGTATTTTAGGGATGTATAGATAGAGGAAATGCAGAGGGTTTTTTTGTATTAACAACTCTGTATTCATACTATTTTTGTATATATCGAATTGTCTTTATTTGCATTATTTCAAGGCCTGGCACCCCATGACAGATCGCAATGACAGTTCAAAACAAAAATCCTCTGCATCCAACAAGAAACATACAGGCATCAATCAATATCAAAAAAGGCAAAACAAAAGGAACGGACAAGGCTGAGTGGATAGCTCTCTCTCTTCTCAGCAAGAAGGGTTCGAATCCCAGTCCGTACAAGGCCTTTGAGTGGAGTTTGCACCGTTTAGTACAATAGGTCTGGCATGGAGAGAGAGGACAACTGCCCACAATTGTAAAGCGCTTTGTGACTCTGGTCTGTGAAAGGCGCAATATAAATAAATATTACTTACTTACAAGATGACACTCACTCCCATTCATCTCGCTCCTCCAAAAGGTCTAACAATGTTTGAAATGACTTCTACTTTTTATGGACAGTATCGTGTTGATTATAGGGCGTCATTAATGGTTCCCCAAACAGACAGTAGTTAAACTGTATTTGGTTTTCTCTGTATCCATGCAGCGACACAGGTATCGGTCAATATTCCCCAAACCTGTCTTTTTCCTCGTTACAGGCCTATTGAGAGAGAGCTGTGTTTGGTGTTCCAATAGTACACAGCGTCTCTCACAGTCCGTCTTGTCGAACAGTGAGTCTGAAGAGTGGAGCTCCTCGGGCAGATGAGGAATATGAGCAGCTTCAGACAAAACAACAACCTCCGTTTATGTGACAACTTCGACATATTGTAGAGATGAGTATCGACTAATTATTTTTTTGTGAATCTCAACCTCGGTATTTTGAGTTATGTATGTGTTTTCCAGCTATGGTTTGAAAGAGCCTCACCAGTTATCTTGGTATTTTTTTATTTATTAAAGCTAGGGTACCTAACTTTCTGATAGTAGAGTTGTTGGATTTTCATTGAAGTGAATTAGAATATATTCAAAGTTTAGACAGCTTTGGGTTAACCTACGTGTGTGGTGGGATGCAGCATTCTCCCATCCCCCAGTCATGAGTGAAAGACTAGTCTAAATAAGCACGAAGCCGAAAACATCTGTTTTCAGAAGATCTCATGTTTATTTAGAGGGAAGCCACGTCTTTTCTGAGGGAGAGGAAGGCGGGACATATTGTTGCATGTGTTTCAAATTATCATGGTATAAGACCAGAGCTCTTTGTCCATTCTTGGTCACTCTGCTGCTACATCTAGCTGACCCAGACTGGTGCAGTCTGTAAACGTGTCTGTTTGTGCTGATGTCCAGATAACCTGTAGTTTTGAACCAGCGGCTGACAACATGTATTAAAGAGATTATGTTGTTCAAATGTGAATAGTTTATTCACACTTTCCTTTCCCATAAATAGTACATGCGGTTTTCATTTGAATAGATGTTTAAATAGATATTTAATGTAATTGTGACGGAGGCCAAACATTTACATCCATGAAAAAACGTGAATTGATAGAAATAATTCATTTTGTTATAAAAAGGTTAGGTATACTGTGGTCCCAATTAAATCCAAGAAGTATGAGCAATGAGTTTTCAGGAAGTAAATCCCTCACCACACACTTCTGTCACTTTTCTAACCACCTGAACTGACAACTGCTGAAGTGCGATCGCGGAGATATCAAACCTGTTCATTGTAGATCTGAGAGCTGCTGCGGCTGTGTTTTACAGTGTGTGCACGGCTTTTGACAGCTGCAGCAGCACTCAGACCTGAGGAGCAGGACTGAGGACCATGGGGAGTCCGCTGTAGTCCTTTGAGCTAATCATGCAAGCCACAAAAGCATTCTTCTGGCTAAAGAAACTTCATCCACGCATTCATGACCTCCAGACTCGACTACTGCAATAGCCTCCTCTACGGACTTCCCGCCTCTCATCTCCAAAAACTGCAATACATCCAGAACTCTGCAGCCCTAACCCTCCTCACCCACACCCGGTCCAGAGAACACATCACCCCTGTCCTCCAGCAGCTCCACTGGCTCCCCGTTCAATACCGCATCCATTACAAGCTCCTTCTCCTCACCTACACGTCCCTCCAGAACCTGGCCCCGCCCTACCTTACTGAGCTCCTTTAACAGCACCAACCCACCCGCCGCCTTTGCTCAGCCGATTCCAACCTCCTCACTCCCATCACCCGCACTAACCGCCGGACCATGGGGGATAGAGCCTTTGCCATTGCCGCCCCAACCCTCTAGAACTCACTCCCACTGCCCATTAGAAACTCTGACTCACTACCAAACTTTAAATCAGTCTCAAAACCCATCTTTTCAAACAAGCTTTTCCGTAAACTACTACTTTATTATTGTATTTTATTTCCCATGTGAAGCATCTGTGTCCAAAAAACCGCTATACAAGTTTGATGTATTATTATTATTACTAAAGAAACTGTCATGTTTTACCAGTGATTATATGATGTTGGAGTATGTACACGTGGCGCATAAAAAAAACACTACATTTCAAACATAAAAACCGTGAAACAGTGAGGCTTGTAAGTCTTGTAAATGTAAAATGTTGAGAATAAATCAGACTTCATCTTAAAGGCACTTAAAGATAAGGATTCACACTTTCGCTTTTCTGTCTGAAAAAGCTGATCTAAAGAAGCGGCGGAAACCAAAAATGAATGCATGAAAAAACTAGAGATAGAAAAAAATGTCTTTGAGCCACACACTAGTTAGATGGATAAAATAAGTTCCATTGTTGTAGTAGGAAAGTTAAGTACCCCAGCTTTAACGATACTTCCACCCGGATTTGTGTTGGCGGCAGATTTCCCAAAATCCTGTGTAAGCCTTGTTGTGTTGGAGTCCAGCGCTCACCTTGCAGACAGATGGCGATGCAGAAGTCCATGACCCAGCTGACCAGCGCCATGACCAGTCCCAGCAGGATGAGGAAGATCCAGTCCTCCCCGACCCGCGAGATCAGGAACTTCTGACAGCGCACTGCACAGACTAAACCACAGGGAACTCATGTGAATATACTGAACGCTCTTAACACCACACAGATACAGCCGCAAAACACAGGGGTAGAAGCAATGAGGCGGACACAAAAAAGCAGTTAATGAGGCATTTAGGCAGCCACCAATTGTGTAAATCAGTCGCCTGTAATTTCCATCATAGGTGTTCCTCAACTGTGAGAGACTAAATCAGAAAAATACAGTTTGAATGTGATTTTATGTTTTTTTAATTACTTGCGAATGATGGTAGAAAATAAGTATACAGTCAATAACAAAAGTTCATTGCACTTCTTGATGTATACCCTTTGTTGGCAATGACACACACACTTTTTCACACACTACACTGTTGCTGGTATTTTGGCCCATCCCTCCGTGCAGATCTCTTCTAGAGCCACGTTTCATCTTCAATGCCCTTGCTGATGGAGGAAGCTTTTTCCCTCAAACTCTCACAGAAAATGGCTCATTCATTCTTTCCTTTGCAGAAAAACAGCCCCAAAAAAAATGATGTAGATCTACTTTGTTTTGGAAATGCAAAGGCATTTCCAAAACAAAGTAGATCTACCATCCGTGTTCTGGCCCGACTTTTGACGCTCTCTCTTCAGAATCATTGTCCTAATAACAGCAATTATATGTGATGAGGCTGCAGGAGAGATATGCACAGTGTAATCACAGGGACCCCCAGTGGCCCCTGCACAGAGTGTGTCCTGATTTCCCTTCTCTTCTCCGTGGGACGCTCCTTCTGGGACCAGCGGGGCCCTCACTAATGACACAGCACAAACATGATCACCTCTCCTCTCTGCTCACCTCACATTCAAATCCGAGTCGAGAGAAGGATAATCTAGCGCTGTGATTATTCTCATTAAAAGAAAGGTGCACAATGTATACACCCTTGTGTGTATCCTACTATGGTTATATATGGTTTTAATGTTTTTTCTCAGATTCAGATTCATTTTATTTGCCATTTGCAGTAAAACCCCATTGGAATACATGAGCAAAAGTCCAGTGTTTGACAAATATAGAAAAATGCATTTGCGAATTCTGAGTTTCCTTGTGTATGAACTTGTATGAAACTTGACTTGCATATTCCCATTTTTACGGATGGATGGCAGCTTTGGATGGCAGTTCATTCGCTAAATTAAAGTTGCTTATTAGTTCAAAATGCCTGGTCTAATTTGTGTTTATACAGCAATGCTAACCAAATTCAACTCTAGTGTATTTTTTCACATGTAAAATTATCAAGATCACTAAAATAGAGATAAAGAGATCCGTGTAGTTGTCCCAAAGTGGGGAAATGTCAGTGTTGCATCACCAGTAGCAGAGAATAATTAATGTTAATGTTTAGGAATGGCGAAGCAAGTTTATCTGTATGGCAAAGTTCATACACAAGGATCTCAAAGTGCTGAACGAATCATGGAGACAGTAAAATCACAGCTCCATAAAATTTGGATTTGAACATTGTCAGAGAAGAGGCCTGTTTCACATTTTCAGGAAGACTGTTCCAGATTGTAGCTGCATGAATCTGTAATGCTGCCATGTTTCATTCCTCTCTCAAATGTTCAATAATAGAACTTTATATGGGAACTTGGCAAAAAGTATGAAAAAACTGTTCCAATGTATCTGTTGCTTGAAGTTTGAAGACACATTTATTGCAAACATTTTCTCTCGACTCACTCGGACGATGCATTACTGACAGCTGAGAGTGATTGACAGGTGGAGGAAGGAGGAGTGGGCGGGTTGATGTAAGACTCGACTCTAATATACAGAAAAGCAGCAGCATGAACACATATCGCACAAGCGCTGCCAAACCGTGATTAACCCCGACTTTATTACAGACTACAAACATGTGAGAATGAGACTTGTAAATTTAGACCTGAGTGTTAGTCACCCACATGCCTTCTGCTTTCTCACGACCACTTTTTAGTTCATGCGTGATTCAAACCGTATAATGATTGCATATCAGTCTAGTATTAGGAGTTAAGTATGAGTAAAACCTCGATCCGCTCAATCATTGGAAAAGTCATGTGACATTTCCGTAACGGCCATTACATCACTATCCTAATTTATCTGCTTTGGAAGAAAAAAACTAAACAAATGTTGTGTCACTTTTGATGGTGGTGTCAGAGGAGAGACATAAGCCCTTTTGTCATTTTTTAAATGAACCTCAGTATGGTATTCTACTTCAATAAAATTATCTAATAAAAGTTTTTTCCACTGAAAAAAAACTCCCGTGTACATGTTTAATATCATACTGTGGAACATCCATCCATCCATTTTCTCCCAACGGCTGCTCTGTTTGAGAGTATAGCCTTGATCTTTCAGCAGGGGCTGCAGGCAAAGTGGGGTTAAGTGTCTTGCCCAAGGACATGGTTACTGTGGAACATTCCAGGCTAATAGAACCAAAAAGAAGGGCAAAAAGTGACAAAATATAAGTCAATCATTTCACAAATTTGGCAAACTCTTAATTTGAGCACATTTTGACCAAGCCTTAAAACAAGGGTGATCTTGATCTAAAAGATACAAGAAATGTCTCTTGGAATGAGAAAATAAAGCATCAGTTCTAAGACTAAATGGCTTTGTCCCATTGGCAAATTTTGTTTTAGTTCAGTCAGAAAGTACTCAAATTAAGACAAGAAACCACTCTAGTCAAGCAATTATTAGCTCATATTTGATCATTTTTTGCAGTGAATTGCGGACCACCTGTGAGATAACCATAAAAGGAGCTACCGTTCATTGCACAAGTCTGCAAACAAAACCAACATGAGTTACGTAAGCGAGCAGAGACTGCACACTGTCATTATTTAATCACCGCCAATTAATAATGAGGCAACACTCTGACGGCCTCTTGTTGCTACAGGTGCCTGCGAGAGACAAACGTAGCACTGCAGAGTACAATCCGTGACTCACACTGCCGCAGACCCTCGCTCCCCTCCTGTGTACATCTCCCATCATGCATCATTCTACCCCCTCTGTTCTTCTGCGCACTTTAATCACATCTCATTTGTTGCTCTGACTTCCTCCCCCCCTCCTACCCCTCCTACCCCCTCCTCACCTTCACACCCCCCTCCCTGGGACTAATTTAGGTCTCCATAGATACCTGCTGCACCTGGCTCAAGATGGCTCCCACGCGGCGTGCGCTTAGACTGTTGTGACTGAAATTTTTTCTGCGAGATGGTTTATCAATTAATCAACGCTTTCTAAATGAGAGAAGACATTTTATATTGATGGTAATATGAAGAGACAGGCCGCCCACACACACAAACACACACACACACACACACACACACACACACACACAGAGACAGAAAGATGCAGCTGTGTGGAAGCAAATGTATAGACTGTAGATTAGGTTTTATGGGCAAAAAGATAAATAAGATATTGACGAAAGAAGGGAGCCGCATGGATTTTATTGAATTATAATGAAAATGGCATTAGCTTTTGGAGGAGAGGGTCGCTATAAAGGGATTGTTAATGTGATGTCGTTAACAGAAACATATTGTGCATTTTGTTTACAATCTAATTTACCCAACGGCACTCAAGAGGCCCATAGATGACAGACCCCATGTGTTCATCATAAAGCACCAATCATACATACTGTAAAAACAGTTTGCTTTTACAAGAATTTTTATGTAACAAATGGACTATGGTCTATGCTTGAAAAAAACTAAAACTTAAAAAGGAGCAGTATGTAAAAGTCTGGCCAAAAGTTGTACTGCACTATCCCTGACTTAGGTTGCCAGATATGCAGACGAACCCAGCTGGGAAACAAATCTATAACCAACACTTTTTTCAAAGACAGCAATCCTTGTTTTATTCCTTGTTTGGTCATTAATGATTTGAGAATTATAGACCTTTAGTTCTGCAGCCACATGTGACTTTACCAGTGACATTTTCTTGATGAGTTCTGGCAACCCAGATCACGGACTTTCTGATTGGTAAAATGGTAGAGGACAGGGACATCAAAATGAAAACAGTAACAAGATTTAGAGGCTGTAATACTAATTTTGAAATTCTAATATCTCAACTGAACTACTGTTATCAGTTAGAGAAGTATTCACAATGTTTTATTAATACCTATTTACATGTTACAGCCCAAGAGCAGTGTGGTTTTCGTCCTGGCCGCGGAACTCTGGACCAGCGCTAATCCATCGGATACTCGAGGGTTCATGGGAGTTCGCCCAACCTGTCCACATGTGCTTTGTGGATTTGTAGAAGGCGTTCGACCGTGTTCCCCGGGGTGTCCTTTGGGGGGTTCTCCGGGAGTACGGGGTCTGGGGTCCTCTGCTGAGGGCTGTTCGGTCCCTGTATGACCGGAGCCAGAGCTGTGTTCGCATTGCCGGCAGTAAGTCAGACCTGTTCCCGGTGCATGTTGGCCTCCGCCAAGGCTGCCCTTTGTCACCGGTTCTGTTCACTGTATTCATGGACAGAATTTCTAGGCGCAGCCAGGGGCCGGAGGGGGTCCGGTTCGGGGACCTGCACAGGATTTCATCTCTGCTGTTTGCGGACGATGTTATCCTGTTGGCTCCAACGAACCAGGACCTACAACATGCACTGGGACGGTTTGAAGCCGAGTGTGAAGCGGCTGGGATGAGAATCAGCAACTCCAAATCTGAGGCCATGGTGCTCGACCGGAAAAAGGTGCCTTGCCCTCTTCAGGTGGGTTAGGGTTAGGGTTAGGGAACTCCTCCACTTCCTCAAGTGGAGGAGTTCAAGCATCTCGGGGTCTTGTTCACGAGTGAGGGAAGAATAGAGCGTGAGATTGACAGGCGGATCGGTGCAGCGTGTGCAGTGACCGTTGTGGTAAAGAGGGAGCTGAGCCGAAAGGCAAAGCTCTCAATTTACCGGTCAATCTTCGTTCCCTCCCTCACCTATGGTCATGAGCTTTGGGTAATGACCGAAAAAACGAGATCGCAGATACAAGCGGTCGAAATGAGCTTCCTCCGCAGAGTGGCTGGGCGCTCCCTTAGAGATAGGGTGAGGAGCTCAGTCACACGGGAG